TATATATATATATATAAATATAAATATATATATATATGTTCAACTCCTATTTCTAAATGTATATTTTAAAATAATCTGATTATAAAAAAATCTTTTTAATAACAGATTTAAAAATTTTATTCCTTATTCAATTTTTTCACCTTGAATTTTCCAATCCTTTTGGAAATTGCATTTTCTTTTACTTTGTTTTACAACTTTACTTCTCCATTTAGTAGTGAAGATTCTAAGTCATCCAGGTCATAGTCATTCCAAAAAAGTGAAGAAAAAAAAACAATTCCCTGGACTTTGTTTCCAAGTTTGAAGACGTTCCACTTCCCAATCCAGGAAGCTTTTTTCAATTCAAAATATCAGAAATAGCATTGAATTTGAAGCTTTATAGAGTGCACCAAAAATAAAGCCTTATTTTGGCTTAGAAAACATGCAAATTGGACTGGACGAATGTGTTCGCCTCTGAGGAATGGGGAGTCATTTGGGTTCTTTGTTACCCTGCAATACCTGATACCTGTCTATGTCTCTGCAAGGGGGATAGTTGGAGGGAAAGGGACCTTTGAAGGGGACCCCCCCCCCCTTTCTGACACATAGACAGGTATCATGTATTACATTAGCCAGACTGACACGAGGCGAGGGTCATTCTGCTAATGCTCAGTTTCTCCTGTCTAAAACACATCAGATCAATCACAGTAATGCAACATCCCTTTTCTGTAACCATAACAGTCAAGACTGCAGCCACAATTTAGAAATTTTTTAATTAGGCTATTTATTATGTCCCAAATGGGCTCAATGTGTATTTGAAATTCCATCAACTGGCTGCTGTAAGAGTTTTTTGTTTTGTTTTTAATTTAATTGAATAACCTGTTTCTTTTGACACTGTTAGTCCTGCCCTGCTCCTGCCTTTGAAATCACACTCAATGGTCGTGCTTGCATTCAGTGTATGTCAGTCTCGCTGGCCAGGCTAGCGTTTTATAACATCTCTGATTTTTTATTAAAAGTTAATTAACTTTGTATTTTAAATCCTTACAACAAAAGTCATATTTTTCATTGTTTTTTTAACCAGTCCTTAAGTAGTATGAGTACTAGTATATGTATGCATACCTGAAATTACAAACCAGCTTCCAGGTACATCTATTGAGCTCAGATTTAGTCCAACTTTGATTAATTGACTCATCTGCATAAATAATAAATATATCCCTGCCAATAATTCAGCTTTTAGGTTAAAATATCCCTGCTACTGTAACTGTGGGAGTAAAAGTGAATATTCATGGTTAATAACTGACCTTTCAGCTGCTTGCGGCTCCTGATGAGCTCCTTCATCAGTTTGGCCATTTCTGGATGAGAGGTCTTATCATTTTGGGCTGGCTGAAAGCAAGAACAATCTAATTATCAACAGCAGAGCAGGTGTGTTGTTGACTTGCTTAACAAGCTATCAGTTTTCTAATTTAGCCTAAATCTAATCAGTTTACTTTTTAAGTGAACTTCTACGTTTTTTCAGAATCAATTCTCTAGACTTTTCTTCGTTTTAAAAAAGAAAAAAAAAGAACAAGGTATTACATTTAACTGTTTCGACATCTGTTGGTTCAACAAATCATGAAATGAAACAATAGTTCTTCTGCTTATCCAAGTGGGATTGAATCAATTTCACAGCTTTTGGCACCTCGATTAGAATTAAGCTGGTTTATTTCAGTCCCACAAACAAAAATTGTTGAAGCAGTTATTCAAGCCTGGTAATATTTATATTTGTAATAAATAAAATTTAGCAAGTGAAAAACCCTAATCCTGAGAGGTAACAATATGATGCATCAAGCCATAGATTAAAATATTTACGTATAAATCAAAGTAATCCAAAATTTTTACTACATCTTATGAGTTTTTTTTAATCACCTAAAAAGTTCAGAGTATAAAACATTTTTTGTATAGTAAATTTTATCTTATTTTCCACACTAATCTATATCTGAAATGAATCTAACTTTTCCAGACTACTGTAGACAGTGTAGAAACCCTGGCTTTGCATCCTTCATTGGCATTACTAGCATCAACTTCAAGATTTAACTTAAATGAAGAGCAATTTGTGATATAAAAGACAGACCATTGTAACAAATGTCTCACATAAACATTTCTAAATCCAGTGGTACCTTGTAATGCCTCTCCTGTTCAAAATGCTCCTCAAATCGCCGGATCTTCTTTCTGAGAGTATGAATGTGTCTGTTAAGCAATGAGATGGACACAGAATTTTCTTCTTGCTCTGCAGGGAAACTGCAGCGAGCCCTGGAGGAGGAAATGCCCATTAGTCTGCTGTTAAAACAGAAACTGTTTGCTTTGCAGAGTAATTAGAGAGAAAACATGACATAAGTGTTCTAGCTGTGAAATTAGTCATCTAACTCATCTCACATGCGTATGTGCTGTGAGCAGGGTGGTGACGGTGCTGTCTCAGGGTCCAGGTTGTAGCGTAGGCTGTGGCTGAGACTCGGACAGCGCGGCGAGGGAACCGGGCAATCACCAGGAGTGAAACGAGATAACAGCAGGCTGGAGTTCAGTTCAGTTGAGTGCAGTGGATTCGACAAGCTGTCCTCTCCTGGATGTCCTTCTGAAATAGTGGCAGGGGAAGGAATGGAGCTGGACTCTGGAAAAGATGGAGATGGGTGACAGATGGTAGGAGGAATAAGGTTCATGTCTGGAAGGTTTGAGACCTGGTTCCAAACAGCAAATATAAAGATTACAAACAAATAAACAAAACAATGGAAATCCTTCTTATCAACTGAATCAATTATGCTTCAAATACAGTTTTTGTTCTTTTTTGGCTGTAGGAAATAAATTAGTTATGTCAAGCATGTATGGTTAATAATAGATGCAATAGAAGGGAATTGATGTGCACAACTCCAAAAAGAAAAAGGGTCAGTAGATGGATGCAGAGTTTTAGAGTTATACAATAAAAATCTGGATGAGCAGCAACAACAGGTTTGTGCTACATGCCGTTGTCAGCTCATCATTATTTTGTTAAGTGTTTTTAAATAGATTCACACCTCAATGTAAGGCAAAACAATTGTTGCGAATCACCGCTCCAGGTTGACACCATTTTCTTTTAAATCTGATATGGACTAATTTGCATTTTTATTTTTTTCATAACTAAAACACACAAGAACCATGATCTGCAGCTTATTGCATACTTGTAGTGGTAAAAAGAACCAAATGCATAATTATTACCATTTATGTGTGGAAATATTTTTGTCTAACCTTTGTTGTTAGATTTCTGTTAGCTAATGTTTTCATAGTCTAAAATTAAAAGAGTTTTGATGCATCAAAAGCATGTTGGGGAAAAAGATCAGGTTTTTCTTACTTGACTTGCTGATCAATGATTGTAGAGATTGGAGGAAGAACTCATGTCTTTAAATGACTAATTAATGTGTCTCTAAAATTATGCTACTGTAAACTGGAAGCACACTTTTAGTGGATAAAGTATAAAAAATTTTTTGGTTGCATTCACATTTCTCACTATGAATTTTTCCTGAAAGTCCAAATAATTCATTTGCAATGTTCTGCTGCATTAATATTGCTTCCCTGATTCTGTCTCACCTGCTTGTGATGAACCAACTGTTTGCTGATGCTGAGACGGTGACAAAGGCAGCGTTTGCATCGAATGTTGCGCTCCAGAGGAAAGAGGCTGCTTCCAAGCAGGCGTATCATCCTGAGCTTGGGGCTCTAATGAGTCTGATGAGGGTCTTGAGTCAGCCTCCAGGGCTTGGAGCTTAAGGGAAGGACTCTGGAAACAGAAGCAAAACATGTTCTCAAGGCGCAGACTGAAAATGACAGAAGAGGTTGGGAAGAAGCTCAGTTTAGCTGAGAGAAAGCCGGTCTTTTAGGATTCACATCTTTCCCTGGGAATTTTGGGAAATCTTTGGAAACAAACCCTGTCCTCCGACTGGACTGTGGTTGGAGGGAGACTTTCGAGACAGGTGAGCTGATGAGCGAAATGCCGGTAAAAAAGGGGAGAAAGCAGCTCTTAAGGGAGATTTAGGAAAAACACCTTAAGAATCTCCTGCGCTGCTCCCAAAAGTCTGACAGTTGCAGTCAAATACGAAGTGGTCTGAACGAGAAAGTCAGATTCCTGAAGTCCACCAGCATCCAGCAACGCATCTTAATTCCACCAGCATCATAACTACACCTCCTTTTTCACGTGTTTGTGTCTCTGAGTCCCTCTTGAGAATCTTTAAATCCTTTCAGCCGGCATTCCCAACACCTCTGCACTCGAGCAGCCTCCACATGGATTATTCATAGTGCACGGATGGCTGTGAGGATATCGCTTGTGTTGCTGCGTGCTGTGTGGGTGCTTGCGCAGGAGAGGAGAGAGGTACTGTATATGACGAGGCGTTACCACAGCAACATTGTCCGGCTGGGTTAAGGAGTCAATGGAATGGAGATGCAGGGAGTCACATAACTGTTTGCTAGGAAGGTTGGTGAATTCTGACTCTGTATTTCACATTTAAGAAAAAGACCTGTAAAGAACCAGCTTTATTGTCATTTAGGAGAACATACGTCAGGTGGTCCGCCATTGCTCTAAACATCACCAGCGGTGGCAGCAGATATAGGCTGATGTTCCTCTCAATCATCCTCCCCAGCAGCTCATTCATAAAAAAAACAAAAAAAAACAGGCTTGTGCGTCAGAAAGAGGAGGTGGAAGGATGGAAGGGAGGGCAGTAAGTGAGGCTATTATTACAGGAGATAAACACCTACAGGCAGGAAGACACAAACATACACACACACAGGAGAGTCTAAAAGATAACTCCAGGTATCACCTGACCTAGATAATCCTTCTTTTAAAAATCAAGACAAAAAAAAAAAAAAAAGACTATAAAGAAGGAGAACTTACGTCATCGCTGATGTTGGTGCCTCTGCAATCATTATGCGTGTCAGAGATAGCACGACATCTTTCTCCTTTGCTCCTCTGAAGGAAGAGATAAAGCGTTATAAAAATAAGTATTTCCTCCTCACAGATTTGTTCCGTTTTTTTTTTTCGTCACATTGAAATGTTTTGGATAACTATACAATTATATTGAAATCCGGCAGACTTAATCAGACCAAAAGTAAAAATAAGAGCTTTCCAAAAATAACTTTATCAAACCAACCTGGTGCTGATAAGATATAACTCCAAAACCCCCAGTTTAAGTTTCACCTTTAATACTTGGATTTTATTACCTTAACAATCTAGAATTAGACTGAATAGAAGTTAACTGACGACTAGAAGTGGGCCAAAAAGTCTTGAAAAGAAACACACACTGAAGAAAATATATATATAAATCTAACTAAGAAATTCTTATTTCTTCTTATAAGAAATTATTTTTTCTTGAATTGAGGAGGAAAGGGAGATACTTTGCCAATGGAGCAAGACAATTTACATTTAAAATAAGAATAAAACAATTGCATTGTCTCATTTTAAGTGCATATTATCTAACTATTTTATTTTAAGGGTAAATATTCTAATTCCAATGGTGGATCATCTTATTAACCTGCTCAAATTAAGGGTAAATACACTTGATTTAAGACATTTTTACCCATTTCAAGATAATTTTTGCAGTGCACCATGCCCAGGTCTATAAAAGGTCCAAAGAGATAAGAAAACAAAGTAAATTAGTAAATTATATCATTCTGAAAAGAGGAATAAAGAGGAATAATACATAAATAGAGTGGAAAACTTTTCTATCATCGGAACAACTTCATCCATTCCTCATTAAGTCAGATGCCGTAAAACTCATCTATGCATTTAGCTATTCAATGCTGGATTATTCAAACAGGAAAATATGGCCCAAGCACCCAAAAGCTGTATTCTCATTTATGGCCTCTCATTTCTGTTTGGATTAAATACCGGATTTTTCTCTTCACCCACTGGGCCTTTCATGGGTGTGAACCAAACGATCTCAACGAACTACTATCCATAAACACTACAGCACATTCCCTTTGCTCCACTGGTTCTTTTCGTCTCCATACCCCTGAAATAAATTTAACACTGATGGAAGAACAGGGCGTTCTTCTCGTTCGTCCTCCACTTGTGGAAAGAGGAACACGTGAAGTGGCCACAGGTGTCTCCGATTCACAAGTCTTTCAAAGAAAAAAGAAGAGGAAAATTCCTCTTCTTAAGACTTTTATGATTGACATATTGAATCTGTCGGTTACCGATTTGCTGGAGGTAGGACCAACCCCCTATTTCAATATAAACATTACAGAAAAAACTGAAGGGTTTGTCTTAAATAAATAAATAATCTTATCTCAGGAATTATAAGACAACATCATTGAAATATATATTTTTCCAGATTACAGCCACTTGTTTGCAGAGAGGCTAGTTTACCTTGTAGTGAGACATGGCCCCTTCATCTCCTGTCTTGTATTTGATGTGCGGTAGGCTGGAAAAAAAAAAAACAAGCATAATGAACTGACAATGAAAAACTGATCAATAAAATCTGATTATGTAGCAGTAAAAATAGCAGGCAGCTTGTGCACCAGCTCTCATTCTAACTCTGGCTACAGTCCGTGTAACTTTATAAACAAACACTGTGAGCACTCCATATTTCAGTCGATAATTTATTGGACCTGCTTATAACCAGGGCAAAACAGGGATGTTTTTAGATCAGAAGTAAGGAGGTCATATGACACTGGTATTAAAATTACGTCTTGTTTACGCCTCAAACACATGAGGCATAGCTGAGATGGCATGTCCTCGTGGAGAGATACCCGGGTCTGCTTGTTAAGCGTGCACTGAGGCGTTCTGTGCAGACAACACGAACAAAAACTCAGTGTCTCGGCACGTTAAACTGATCTAACTTAGTTAGACGGTTCAATCCCTGTGAAGCCCTGCAGCATGTCAGTGTTAGTTCGACTAGAATCATAACAAAACCATGACTGTAAGCAGCACTGTACTCTGGTAACCTACTTTTGCAGTGACTACAGGGCTCAGCTATGACCTGAGAAAAGAGGAAGGAAAGCAGGTGTGGAGAGGCGGTAAAACAGCTGTAGTATCTAAGATCTAAATGGAACTATACTACTAGAAATAATAAAGGTATTTCACTTTAGAACCTCAATAAAACCATTAAGAACCCCAATAAAACCAATTTAAATATCATTGAAAAAAATAATACAAAATGGTCTGTAAAATAATTTACGTCCAACTAACTGGAGCTGGAGGTAAAATTATATTTATTGTTTTGTTTATATAGTAATGTTGGAACTTCTCACCACTCTGTAAGCTGACTCTGATTTTGGACTTTGCTCGGTGATTCATCCGATGTGCAGCCGTCTAAATTAGGAAAAGTCTGTCCTGTGTGGGCAGAAACCTGAAAAAAAAAATGTATCCATATCTTTTCACCTTTAGTGTGTAACATTTTTGTCATTTAAAGTATAATTAACAACTATATAATGTAATAGTGTTGGAGTTTTCTGTAGGTTACTGTTACTACTGCAAGAATACCTAGCACTGCTGAGTGGGTTTAGATAGAGAATAGTAGAACAATCTGTGCGTACCCCAGGAAAGCTGTCTGTATCAAACACAGAGCTCCTTTCTATGTCTTCCTCTTGTTTCAGCTTTGATTCAGTGTTAGGCTGGGGTTTCTGCAAAGATCCACTGCTGATAAGAGGCAAATAAGGTTAACTGACTGGGCAGATCTTTTTAAAGCATAATCATGCGGGGGGCTGGGTTAAAAATGCAGTCATCTTTATTCCTTTAAAAATTCACCGTTGCATGGTAAGCTCTGTTTGAAAATATCCCCCCTGCATGTTTTGAAGCGGTGCATCTTGTGCCTGTCCCTCTGGCACCAGGTCGGTGTGGTCAGACAGCACGCTGCCTTCATCTGTTAGAATCCTGTCTTCCTGCAGAAGCTCTTGGTTTGCAGTCAATGCTTGAATGTCAGTGCTGACGTCAGACCTGGATTCACGAGCTGGCACCAGTGTGTCACCACTTAAATAAAACACAGAGGGCACAAAGAAGAAAAAAAGAGACAAAACTAAACATTGGTTCTGGAAAAGTATGATATATGTTTTAAAATGTCTTCATGGACAGTTAAAATAACTGTCATATGAAGAGATGCAAGATTCAATAAGGAAAAAGTTTTTGACTACTGCAGGCAAAAGGAAAGCAATGCTTTATCTAAATCTACATGATAAGATTTATTTAAGAGCTCTGAATCTTTAATCTTTTTGAAACTTTAATCACAGCCAAAACACAGTGATAAAAATGAATTAACAAATAGCAGAGGGTGTTAATAACACTTACTGTGGTAAATGTTCAGCAAATCAGTATAAGGATGAGTCACCAATAATCAAACCACAGGTTTATTTGCTGGTAGATACAAGCATGCTTAGAATAGTTTAATCCATCACAGCTCAAAGTCTCCAATTTGTTTGCTCACTTGTGGCGTACAGTTGATCCACAGTTGCTGTCGCTGAGCTGATCAGACATGAGAACATTTCTTTTGTCAGACTTACTGCAGCATAAAGTACAAACAACAGAGCAGCAAACAGCCTGCTACTCTAGAGAAAGATGTGGCTGCAAAGAAAACAACCCACTAATGACAAAGGCTTAATGGTCACAAAAGAGCCCTGGAGGCAAGAACAACTGACCCACCCGCTTCAGTTACCTCTCTGCAAACACGGCCGCTTACAACAGAAAGAGCAGCTCAAAACTGTGTTGTCATTTTTGGCAGAGTTAGTACAGCACAGCGGCACAGACAGAAGTAGGTCAGGATGGCCAGCAAAGGACAATACATCCGACCTAATTTACCGCTGTGTAAGTGGAACTCCATAGTTATCAAAGACTTTAGCCATGGATGGGAGGTATAAAGGGGAATTAAGCCTGACTAACATAACATGCTTTTCTTAGAATGCCATACATCTGAAGTGCTGACTTCAGCAAAGATCGTTTTTGAAATAACTGAGGCCATAAAACTGTTTACTGGAACATAAATAAAGAGATAATAAATCATAACATTAAATAATTCATTTTTTAAAGTCACAGCAAGAATGCTTAGCAGCACTATTTGACATCCATCCATCCATTCTTTTATCTATCCACTCACCCACTCATCCATCAATAAATCAATCCATCCACCCATCCATCGGTACAACCATTAACCCATCCATCTATTTATCCATCATCCACCAATCCATACATCAAACCATCCATCTATCCACCCACCCACTTACTCATCCATCCTCCCATTCATCCACCCATCAATTCATCCACCCACGCACCCATTCATCCACCAACCCACTCATCCATCCACCCTTTCATCCATCCATCCACCCATTCATCGTCAATCCATCCATGGACCCAACCACCAAATCACTCATCCGTCCACACATTTACCCATCCATCCAACCACCCATCCAGCCATCTATCCAACCATCCACCCACTCATCCATCCCCTCATCCACCTACTTGTTCATTCACCCACCCATCCACCCACCTACTCACCCATCCATTCTCACATCATACCATCGATCCATCACTCCATCCACCCATCCATCCTTTCACCTATCCATCCATCCATCCATCCAGAAACCCACCCAAACACTCATCCTTCCATCCACTCATCACTAACCCAGTGATCCATCGATCCACCCATCCACCCATCTGTCTAACCATCAAACCATCCAACCATCCATCCATGCATCCACTCACCCACTCATCCATTTATGCACCCACCCACTCATCCATCCATCCATCCATCCATCCATCCATCCATCC